ATGTATTGGACAAAAAAATAAATAAATCAAAGAGACCTGGAGTAAGTATGTCTCTAAGAATAAGTTCAGTGAAAGCACTATAAAATTCCAAATCAAGTCACAATTTGAAACCTATTGTTCCCCTCCTCAACCCACCCAAAAAAAAGTCTTATAAAGAAAAAAAATCAGAGAATCTAGCACCTACTAAAGCAACTGAATGGAGCATGTAACTGTATTTGATGCCAAAAAGAGAACTGAATAATAAAGTACTTATTGAAGATAGAAATCAATAAACTGACAAAGCTACTGCATGAGAGCACTGAGGAGACAACCTTAAGGAAACAAAGAGAAAAGTGGGTAATTGTTTAAAGAAGCACCATTAAGAGAACAAACACAAACTATTCCAGGACAGAGAAGTGACAGGAAATGTAGCAGAAGTCCTGCTTGGTTACATCATGAGCTCTTTGCTGCCTCCAGCACATGAAAAGTCGCATACAGATTGTGGACACCAAGTTAAATAGCTGAGGACACGCTAACATTAACAAAAAAGACTTCACAAAAACAGAAAAGACCCAAGTGACAAAGACATCAAGCAGGACAATATTCCATAGCTGCTACATTTACTACAAGAGAACCCAAAAAAGTATTATTTTCTCATCAGAAAATAAAAGTTATGACAAATGATCCCAAGAAGGCTAGACCGAAAAACACAGCTGAAAGAAATAACAACTTAGGAAACCAAGGTTTTTGCTGAACTAATAAATACCCTTAGGACATTTGCCCCATTTTCCAAAGTCTGCAGGAAAATTATTTATCGTCTTCATTTCAGTCCTGGTGTTTAAAAATTGGGATTTTAAACAAATCTTCATAATCTGAAGTTACGGTCCAATTTATGGGTTCTAAACATAACTTTTTGTCAACTATTTTTTTATTCCATATTTAGTGAACAGAAAGAAAATAGAGCTGTTTGACAGCATTGCAACACCTGCTATTGCCAGAAGATAAATCACTTACAGACTCATCAGAAAGCAGATATCATCACTATTACCTAGAGTGCCCTACAAACATTATGAGTGAAAGTCCACACAATAAACAGGTGTGTTTTCATCTATAGTCACATCTAGTACTAAAAAGCACAAGTGACTTTCAGTCAACTGTGCATTTGACTAGAGAGTCAGTCTGAAACAGCAGTGTCAAGGCAGAGCTGTTGCAACAGTCCTGGAACAGCAGTTTACACTCTTGGCCTTTTATTTTTTACAATTGATTTTTTGGTCAGAATGTGCAAACAGCTCGCAGAAACACCCATCTCCTTTTACTAACTCTCTCACAATGATTGTTTAATAAACAGTCAGCATTTTCCTAGCCGTTTTACAAGGCCACAGAAGAATATGTGAAGGTTTGCAGTCTAAAACGTTTGCCTTCCTTAAATTTGGTTTCAGTGCAAATAAAATCACTATGAGCTCACCAAAAGTGTTCTTGAAACTAAGGAAAAAAGCATGAGTAAGTATAAAAACATCCTCAAGTTGGTTATTTTCCAGGCCGAATTCCTACAAGAGACAAAATACACAACTTGGGTTATTCTTTGGATTACACCAACATGCCTAACCCATTATGAAATCAGCATGACAGAAAATATTTTATTTTCTTCCTGTTCCCAAAATACTGAACAGATCAATTGCAAAATTAAATCCAGGCAGGAAATGGGCACTTTCTCAGCAGCTAGCCCAGGAGACCCCCGCAGACCCCAGCTGGGGCAGGAGCTAGCAGTACTAGCCCCTGCAGGCAGCTCTTGGGCAGCATGGGGAGGGCTCGGGCACCCACCTGTGGCACTGGCCCAGCAGCTGAGCTCTGCTCCACACTGGTCCCTGCTTCTGGCAGGGAGGGAGTTGGCAGAGGTGGACCTGGCTGCAAGCCCAACTCAAGCCTTTCTGACAGAGGAGTTAAATCCCTGGTGAGCCACTGAGGCAGTGCCAGGCTTTTCCCTACTTCCCCTCACTCCCCTGAGGTGTGTCTCTCATGGCTTTTAGCCCTTTGGTGTGCAGCTCCTAAGACCAAGAAGCATGACAACACATCATTCTTTAGTGATGGCAGGCAGGGAGGAAACCATCAAAGCCCTTGCCTAGCATTCCATCCTGAGAGAAGAGTGCATAGAGTTTCCCATATGACAAAAGCCTGTCTTTCACCAGCCACAATCAGCAGTTAAAATACCCAGTGACAGTGTGAATGGAAAGAGTAATTAATCTCATTATTAAGCTGCAGCAACCCAACATCATGTTCGGTCTTTTAGTCTTACCGTTCCTCTCTGTAAACCCCCTTCTGCAGGCTCTCCCATTTTTCTCTCTGCTTCCATACAAAATCATTCAACTCGCAGATCACTATGTCTTATCCCAAGCACCAAGGGCTGCCTTTCTCAGCACACACATGGGCCCACTGCTTGGCTAATCCTATCTTCTTCTTTCAAAGACGATGCTATTAGCAGAACTGACAGGCCCACTAGAATAGTTATCACCTGTTGGCAGCTTGGGTGTAATACATACTCCTGTGGTCAAAAGCTCCAGTGAATTGCAGATAGTTAAAAAAGAAGCATACTCTATCTGAAACTACCTACCACGTGCCAATATTATAACTCATACAAAAGATGAACAGAAAATTAACTGAGCTTGTTCAATTATTATATTCTGCCTAGAAACATTATTCATGTCCCAGCCTTTCTTACAATCATCCCCACTAGCCACATTATTCTCTCTGGCCTAATAAGTTTTATTAATCATACACAGTGAGCTTGAAAAGCATGAGGGCCAATTTTATCGCAGAAGGAAGATACAACAATTAGGCAGTAGAGGCCTTTTAATGCCTGCAACGTGGGTTTGCCTAAGCTGCGGTTTAATAACTCAAGGTTTTTGCTGGCAGTAAACAAGTGATGATCAAAGCCTGACTAGGCTACAATGCTGTAAAGCTAATTTTCTGAGAGACTGCAGCAGGAAGGACTTCAGGAGGAAGTCCTCTTGAAATAAGAAATCAGACAAACCATAGTCCATGTGGCTGTTAAGAGCAGTGGAACTGCCAGGAGAGCCCATTTCGCTGAGTACCTGCAGCACAAAGAGACCTATCTTGGTCTCTTGCTTTGCCAGAGCATCTTGTTTCAGCACATCAAGCAAAGTCTCCTCAAGATTTCTAGGAAATGCTGACACATTGCAGGTGACTGGACCAATTCCACCAAATACAAATTAAAGAGGAAAATAAAATCATGAGCGCAGAAGCCATGCTTTCTAGCCAGGGCTAATTATCGTAGTGCTGTTTCTCAGGAAGGTTTTACCTACTGCACTATCATCTCCCTGTCTGTCTGCATTGTTACTTGGTGCAAAGGAATTATGAAAAGTTCTTGCTTCGCACCCTAAAAACCACAACACATGTGCACCATGACTGCCAAAAGCAGACTGCTCCACAGCCTGACTCTTCATTTTCACAGCTGTGTCATCTTTTGGTCTGGCTGCAATGGTCCAGCTTCTGAATAAGACAGACCCAAACTGTTGTAGTTGTCCACAAGAACAACCCATGCTTACTTGTCACACTAAGCAACACCAGCCTAAAAGCCCAGGTTTAGACCCAAGTGGACAGTTCCCTAAGAAACAAGAGATTTTCCCCCTATTTCAGAGTCCTCCAGTCACAACCAACTTCTTGACAGCACCGTGACTGTGAAGAGTCGCAGCTGACAGAGAGAACAAAAAAGGGTGCTGGATTATGCCCACCATGCATTGCCAGCTGTAGGCCAGCAGAACTGGGAAACCACTTCCTGAGACTAAGGCACTGCTGTGGATTTCACCAGAGCTACACAATGCTTTTCCTAGCTAGCATCAGTGAAATCCTGTTTTCACTAATTCTAAGGTATCTGTCACTTATTTCTCCCAGAGGCTGTATATGTGAAATGGTGCATCTCCTTGCCCACAGATGGTATGAAGAAGCTGGACACAGCTCTGACATAGTTACCCATCAGGGACATTTAACACCACAAGAAAGGCTCTGCTCAGGTACCCAGCAGGGGTGAATGGACTGCCTTCATTAGGGTCTTTTCATTAAGGCCCTTTTCATTAAGGCAGAGTTGCTCTTCATGCCTTTCTGACTAAAATGTAAGTCTGGAGCGATGTCACTAGATGCCCACCACCCGTATGTCTATCTAGAAGTGATAAAGTGAAGTGCAATTAGAAGGCACAGGGAGATCCTCATGCTGAGAACAGTGAAGGAGCAGAGATGACGTCCTCCAGCAACGATCAGGAAAAGGCCGTTTGAAACATGCACTTGAATATACTTAGTGCTGCATTGGCGTTTGGAAGGTCTGCCAAATCTGATGAATGAAAACTGAAATTAACAACCAATCTGGGGGGAGGAGGAGGTTCAGCTTGGGGCACAAAGATGAGAAGAAATAAATTATTTGGTTGGGTGTGGGTGTGGGTGTGTGTGTTTTAAACAAGCACATGACCTGCATTGTTCACAACTTAATGCTTGTGATCTCAGCTCCTAAGAAACTGGTCAATAAACATTTACCCAAATAGCCCCAGAAATCATTTAGGTAATTATTTGCATATTTACAGATTTACTTTAAAATTAATCTTAGAAAATTGCCCCATATAGTGATATCTCATTTCCATATCAAGTACAATTTCAAATTGGTTTTTTTTTTCTTCCATTATCAATGCAAACAGAAAGTTTAATTGAAAAATAAATACATTATAAAAATTCAACAAAGATAACAAATACCAGATTGTCATCTACCACACGTAACTACCCAGAAAAAAAAACCAACTCTTTTATTTCTGAATTTCTGTTGGATGCATTTCTTTGACCTTCTATGTTTTGGGGTCCCCTGCGTCACTTCCTGGTTTCCACCACAAAATTGAAAAGAAAATCCAGTTGTGAAAATGGAAAAAAGTGCTACATATTCAGGAACAGTCTGTTAACATGGCACAGAAATATGTCAATTATCAATTTGAGGGAAGACAACACATACCTCAGAGTCCATTTTCGAATAAAATTCAGATATATATTTAAAAATTTCAAATGTTTCAAGAGCTGTGCTGATATTTAGAGACATAGATAAATAATTTACTAAAACAGGTTGTTCTCCCCCGCTGTCTTCAGGTCAGGAAAGTAAAAGGCTTTTGTAGGGCAGCTTTGAGTGTTCTGCTGGCCTGCGATGTGGTAAGGTCTGAGATTTCTTGGTTGAAGTACAAGTTCAAGTAACTGAGTATCATTAGTAGCCGAGCTGGTAGTAGACTGCTTGTGCCTACATTGTTAATAGTTCATGTATATCATTCTTGGATTGTCATTCTGGTAGATACTCTCTGATAAGACAGGAAGATTGACCGCATCTGTTTTCTCATGTGATTGCACAGACCTGAAGTTCTTAGTCTGCAACATAAAGAAAAACATGGTAGAATTTCGTGGAACCATTGTACTTATAGAGTCCAAACAAAAAACAAGACCAGAAAAAAAACGCTAGGCAACATTACTTTTGCAAAGAAACTGTGAAGTTATTTCAGTAAGCTCTGTGAGCAAAGGGGTAGGGCACAGAGAGTGAAACCTGAAATGACAGAGAGATGCAACAGCCACCTTTACAAAGCCTAAACAGGATAGTCTTTTGAATACTTTTTTTTCTTAATGTGACTGAAAACAAATTTTGAAATGTCAGTCTCTTTAGCAAAATAGATTATAATCAACAATGCTAACTTCTCTGAAAAAAAAAAAAAACAGACAGGCCACAGGCAATCCAATTTAGGCATCTAAAATTACTGGAAGCTTTTGACTTTGATCTCTGTAACTCCCACTCTGTCAGTCAAATCGTCCCAAATGCTATAGAATAGCATATCAGGAAATTAATCAAACTTCAGAGCACTGTTTGACTAGTCTGCAACAAACAAGGCACACAGCCATTAATTTAACTCTGAGCATAAAGCAAAATATGAAATAATTGCTGTTTCAGTGTGCATTAAATGAGGCAGAAGCCCTAAGGAAAGAGCGGCATATTATCACGCTGTTAAACATGTATCACGACACACTGGAATTAGAAAGGAAGTAAAAGTTGCAGTGGCAAATTTATCACTGCTGCTTCCTAACTTCTGAGTGTTTCAACTGCAACTTAAAAAATAAAATTTTCATAGCTGTGTTTGTCTCTAACACAGCATAAGGAAGTGCACCCTTTTCCCTCATTGTAAAATGCCTGTCTGTTTTCATCCAGTCTTTAATCAGGCAGGTTTCTGCCATCAAGGGAAATACACATTCTTAAGCAAAATATTAGAGTTAAGGTTACCCTGTGAGGCAGAAATGTGAAAACATTAACTTAAGGGAGATTTAAAATTCAGCTTAACCATTGCCATTGTTAATAGAATTTATAGTATTCTTAGGCAGGAAACGCACTACTCCACTCTTGATCTAGTGCTTATGCAATTACTCGGATATTCTGAATATACATGAAGGTAGGGCCATCCAAACAATAGACACCCTCCCAGAAACACTTCCTTGTGGGAGACATTGGCCTGTCAGCCTTGCACAGCCTCTGAGAAGCAGCTAGGCTTTGATGAAAAACAGGCCTTGGGATAAAGATAAGAAACTGCTGAGTTTGTGCCAAGGTGGCAGTGAAAAAACAACAGACAGCTTTAACACTGAACTGTGGAAAAGTACCGAATTGTGAGAAGTTACCGCTGTGTGAACAGCGCGTGAACAAGGAGTTGATTGGTCTGTACAGCGTGTGTTAGAGTGGTCTTATGCTGATAGGAGAAAAGGTTGATAGCTGCCTAATTGCTGATGTGCTAATTATGAAGTAAGAGCTTTGGCGAGATCATGAGTATGTACTATTGGGAAAATAAACGACGTTGCTGGATATAACTCTCATAGAGTTGTGCAAGTCCAATATTCTCCTGCAACACTTCCTCATTCCACCCTCCAAGCACACACAGAGATAAATGAGAGTTTTGCCAGAGCAGACACGTTGCAATGAAATTACATGTTTTAGTGAAGAATACAGAAGAAAAAAATAAAAGCACAAAGCACATATAGAAGGAAAAACCCACTTACTGCAAATGGAACTGCCAACCTGTGTGCCAGTGAATGTAACCGGAAAGCTGAAAGTAGGATGTCAGGAAATGAAAATGGTTTGATGGGGCAAGGTGCACAGCTGTTACGTCTAGAGTTCTCCTCTAGCTGCCCTCAGCTGTTGAAAGACTTTCTTCAGTTACACTCGTCGTTCAATTTCTTATTTTTGATGTCCTGCTCCTGAATGTGCTACTGTTTTATTTTTCCCTTCACTGAAATTTTTGATCACCCTGGGAGCCATGACTGAATTGTGTCAGTTGGGTGCACTTTTCCTCAGTTCTGTGGGGACATGCTGGACCATGGAACCCATATGAAAGAAGAAGAAACCCAGACAAGCAGTAAAGCTAGAGAAGAACTAGGGAAATGAAGGGGAATGAATCAGTCACTCTGATTCTCTCTTAAGTTCTCTCCATTGACAGTTCCACACCTCTACGTTTCCTTCTCCCAGTGCTTCATCTCCTGCTCTCATGAAAACACTCTTGCCTTCAGCCTACTATTCTCTCTTCCTCACATTTTAAGCCTCCACTAGGGCTTCCAATCCCTTCATACCCCATCACAGCCATCAACTCCAAGAGTAGCAAACCATCATTTGAGATGTCAGCATCAAATTATTCAGTATGAGCCTGACCCAGTGCCAATGAAACCTACACAGCCTGAAAAAAACTGCTAGTATACCAGAAGACAGTATGTACATTTGGCCTCTTCTTACACTTGCTCAAGGAAAAATTTATGATTGCTAATGGAACCAGGTGGGTTGTTTGTCTCTGTTCATTGGACTAGAGTCACTAGTTTGTGAACTATCATTTTTATGTACAGAATTTTATGTTAGAAAATGCAGAATGATCAAAATAATGCTAAAAACTCAGAACCTACCCTAGTCTCAGAAATAATCCTTTTCATCCTGGATGACTGTCTGCCATATGTATATAATGCATTAATAGCATAATAACTATGCCTCTTACAGAACCCCAGACTTGTTTTAAAGATCTGCCCCGTATTTAATTAGTTTTCCAAAAGGACAATGCATCATATATGGACATTTTCCTCAATCCTTACGTCCCACCCCTCTCTCAGGAATAAAGTGCATGCCCTTATACCGATGCACAGTCAGCATTTCAGGCTCATCAAATCACTTACCTCTGCACCGGAAAATCAAGCATAAAGTCACACCACTGACAGCAGCAACAACTGCAGATCCTCCTATCAGAAGACAGAGAAGCCTGTGGGAGGTGTCTGAGAGATGAAAAAAGAAAGTTAGTTTCAGAGCGAGGCATCATCATCCACTGACTATATGATGTTACTACCTATCTTAACCAGAGGAGAAAGCTAATCCTCTACCCACACAGCTCGAGCTGAGACACAGATGAGATGTCTGGATGCCTGTCAACCAGCAGTAGAAAGCTGCCTCACACACCCAGGCATTTGTGTGTACAAACACACTTTCATTTTCAACTCATCTGTCTGCACAGTTTCCCTTTCTTCAAATTATATTAGTGCTGCAACAACAGAACTGACCTTCCATCCCTGCAAAATACTGTTCTCAATGACCAGTCTATGATGAATTCTGTCCTTCATGCCTCTACTGAGATATTTTGGTGTTATGAGCACTTATTCAGCTGTTTTTACAAATCCTCTTGGCATCAGACTTCTAACAGGTCCAGCACAGCTGGCTGAGAAGCTGAATTTTACCCTTTACTACCTTCGACCCTTGGAAAGATCACTTGAAAGTCACAAACAGACATTCTCCCAGGACCACCACTACTGTGGGAAGCTGGACAAAAATCAAATTCAGGCATTCAAAGCTTCACATCAAAAATTAGCCATATCACAGTGATTTTGGATTCATTCTTATTTCTCAATATCCTACTCTGATTTGATTGGCAATAAATTAAATTAATTTCTCCAAGTTGAGTCTATTTTGCCCATGACAGTAATTGGTGAGTAATTTCCCTGTCCTTATCTCGACCCATGAGCTTTCCATCATATTTTTCTCTCCCCATCTTCTCGAGCAAAGGGAGGGATAGAGCATGTATCGCTCATGCATGCTTGGTGGGCATCTGGCAGCCAGCCAAGGTTAACCCACCAAAATAGAACGAGGATCTCTTGTAAAAATGAACAGGGGTAGAAAAAAGCATGCACTGAAAGCTTCCCCATACAATGCCACAAAACATTTGGTTTCAACTGACTAACTCCAGAGTATTAATTTCTCTGCCAACATTCACTAGAACTTTGGCCTATCACCCCACTAAACAATCTGCAGAGCCCTGATATTCAGTGGGAAGAGCTGCACAGAACAGCACAAAGAAGCACAAGAGCATGAAGAAGAGCAATTACAGAACAGTGTTATTTACATGACAGGTCTAGGGACATAATCTGGTTTGTAGCTGGGTGGGTAACCAGGCAGGTGACATTAGGAAGCGCGCTGTTGACCCAGCCTAGGTAGCTCACTCTGGTCACTGTTCCATTGGGGTGGTGGACTTCTTCCTCAGTGCTGTGATTACTTGCAGGGATCCAGGAGATTTCAGCAGCTGGCTTTCCAGCAGACGCTTGACAGACAGCCACCCTGCTCTTGTCGTAGGTCAGAGTCACTGTAGGTCGGACTAGAGAGGAAGATAAAAAAAGACCACAACCATGATTTCTAATGTAGTATAAAATCACCAACTGAGCAACAGAAAAATAAGTGGTATCTTTCAGTTTGCCTGACCGGTGCAAGAGTTCTTAGAATAATTTGGAATACTAGCACCAACAATCTTTAGGGAAAAAAATACGTCAATAAGTCCAAGGTGAACATCTCCAAAACTAGCTAGCTGCATTTAGAAGTATTGCTTCCTCATGTCTTCCAAAAGGTGATTACCATTGTAAGAGGATAAGATGGGATGACAGATAGGGGTGGATTAAATGAAGATTTATAAATACATCAGTGCACACACTGAAGAAAACACAGCTTATTGAAGCTCCATTTAAAATATTTAGGAGATTAGGTAGGTAGAATCAAGAATTTGACAGCAGAGAAATAAAAGGAAGAATCAGACAAAACTGTTCTACCTAAAGTCCAACAACTCATATTCTGCATTTGACAAAACAGGCAAAAGCTCGGACAATACCTAAGGCATTTTCAGAAAGGCAAGACCTTACACGGAAGAACGTTTAAAAAAAAAAAAAAAGTGACAAAAACTAATAATAGAAGTTACAGAGTTCCAAAATTAACTTCCCACAAGCCTTCTGAGCATCACTGAAAATTAACCAGTATGACCAGAACACAAAAATCTTCTCCCGTGGTGTTCTTCTTTTTAATTTATGGAAACCTAGAGATAGTTTACTCGACTATCTGAAAAAGATGATGTATTGTTTATGTTTCCTAATATTCTTTTGTTCCCATAGGTTGAAAATAGGCTAATTTAATTTTTATTTTAGTGATAGTCTTATAAGACAGCTTTCAGTATTTTTGGAAGAGTGCAATATTTCCAGATAGTGTTCTGAAAACTTTTCTTCCTTCCTATTTAGCTCTTACCCAGACAAGACACCCATTGACTTCAATGTGAATTTTGGTTTAGCGTCCTCTTTCTCAGCTTATAGCAGCAATATTTATCTGCTACCTTCTGTTTGCATTAACTTAACCAAGAGTGGATACTCCTGGTTATGTGAACATTCATATGCTAAGCCTAAAGTGGTCTCTCAGAAACTGTGCAGACTGTTGGATATGGTCCATTTTAAAACCTCCCCTGTTCATGAATCAGAAGTTAAAAAACACAAACATAAACTCCCCAGATTATTTCATCGTAGACCAGCCCAGTCCTATTACATAACCCCTCATGCCTTTTTTTCCCATTCTCCAAACAGCCAGACTAAATCAGTTTACCTCTTTATTTTCAATTTCAGCATGCATCCAAAATTAATTTGGTCTTTTACCACCAAATCAATTAAATCAAATAATTTTTCTCTCCACACGCACACACAAAAAAAAAAGAAAAAAGAAAAAAGACAAGGTGTGTCTTACCTATCACAGTCAGATAAGAGAAAAAAAGAAAATTCCCTGCACTGCTGACAACTTCACAGGTGTAATTTCCCTCATCACCAAGGTTCACAGGGTAAATACGAAGAGCAGGATCACTGTCAGGTGAATATTTCCACATCACCCTCTCACTGCATTTTAACTTGCTTGTCTCATTGTGATCACGTCTATAGGCCAACAAGCAGCAAGTGCTGCATTTCTTCTTCCATGTCACCATTAGCAAAGACAACTTGGAGACATAAGGGCAACTCAACACAGCCTCATCACCAGCCTCAACACTCACCATGTTGTAAGCTACATAAGAAGAGAACAGACATTAAAAATGATGCTATAACAATTGTCAAAGCATAGGAAACTCTTGGCTTCATCACACTTAAAAATTTCTACTTCCTTACTGTACTGGTAGCCCTGGGGACACATTGCTCTGTGCAGACACATATAAATAGCATTCAATTTCCAGGTCCAGTTTCCTGCTATCACTCTTTGAGGTCTGAAAATGTGATGGAAATGGTGCCTTTTCGCTGTGGACATTGTCCAGGTACATTATACAGGCTGGTGAGCTACAAGTCCTCCATCTGTTTTTTAGGCAACAGATTTCTCTTACTTTATTATGAGCTTTGAAAAACTGATGGAGGGGCAAGATTCGCCCTTAAGGGAAACTACTTTCCAAAAATAAATATTGTGTTATTGAATTAGGTGCTGTGGTTAAAGTGCAAGTAAAAGCAGGGATAGCAGTGGAACACAGACCTGTAACAAGGTGAAAACCCAAGATCACTTGGTGCCATAGTTCGTGGGGCATATGAAGTATGAGACATATATAGATCTTTTTTTCTGCCAGAAATCATAGCTCTCCTGATAATTGTCTCAGTTGAACTGGAGATGGATCTTCAGATGATCTGTGTTGGGTTCCCATCAGGTGTATAATTCTGTGCCACTCTCCAGGGTACAGGATTATTTTGTCAACTAATGTGACATCACTTTTTTCATTCACATTAAACAATAAGCAAGATCTCCCCTGGTGAACTGCAAAGTTTCCACACACAGGTGAGCTGGAAATACGGAGTAACAAAAAGTGCTGCATGTAGTTTGGGATCCTTCACACATACCTGACCCTTCAATCAGGTTGATTAGCAGGAAAAGAAGTGCAGCCAGAATTGCCCATGTCTGAGCCATCTTTAGCAGAAAGGAATCAGCACTGCAGAAAGTGAAGGCAAAGAAAATAGCATGTAGTCACAAATTGTTGTGCGAGTCCCATCAAAGAGAACATGTAGTAAAACCTGTTTCCTTTGAAAACAGGAGTTCTAAACAAGACCCCATGTCAAGTATCATTCTTGTGCTCAGGAAACTAAAGCAAAAAGGCTTTTGAAAATAAGAGACTACTGCTTACAAACAAGTTTTAAAAATCCAGGATCTCTGATTCCATTTTATAGGCATCTCTAGCTGCTCACTGTTCATGCCAAGCTAGCTATCACAAAGATAGCTACAGACCTCTTACTGCTGCTTCATGCTTACCTGCAGGAGAGGGAAAAAAGGTTTTGCAAGAGCAAACATACATACGTTACAACTCTTTCTGAAAAATCAAGGTAACAGCATGTATAGGAAAGTTTAGGATCTAGACTTCATCAACTATTTGACAAAGAAATAATTCCTAACCCTTGCATGCTTTTAATTTCTTGAACGGTAACTCCACTTCTGCAGTAGAATAAAAAAGGGAACTGTCTTACTGCAAGAGATCAAAAATATGTGCGTTGGTTTCCTGCTTTCATAGACACAGTGAACTAAAGAGGAATCTAGTAACTTAACTTACACTATTCTACAACTATATATACTTTTTAACAAGCCGTATCTTAAAAATTGCTAGCTCCTTTTTGGCAAAAGGACAGCGGTTCTATGGTAAGATTGAGACAGTGCTGTCATCCCAACATGTTGTTTTCTGGTTCACACAAAAGAGCAGAACTCCATGCTATCCAAAGGATTTCCAATCAAAATATAAGCGGTTCTCAGAAGAGAATTTTGATGAAAACCTGTTCAGCTGTTGCTTGAACATAGATTTGGCCAAGAACATCACTGATACTTTTCTAGGGTTAGATATCATATATAAATAACCCAAATTTGGCATGGCATACTTGCACTACACTGTACCAAACAATATACATACGCATTCCACAGGCACACTCTCAACCTCTTCTGTTCAGGTCTCAAGGACTGCAGTTGATGGTGGACTCATACCGATTCTGTCACAGCAGACAGGTTCACAACCAACGCACTGCTGTGCTCCCAGGCAGCTGGGGGATAAAGCCCCAAGGTCTCGGAGTGTATGCCTGTTTCCACAACACTAGAGTAGCCATATACTGACCACAGTTTTCTGATGTTACCATCACAAATCAGTGGGCACACTTTTGTCTTAAGGCTCCCTGGAGCCTGCCCATAATGCTATCTCATTTTCCATCCCTCGCCTCTGCATTCCTCCAAATTGCCTTCTCAGTAGCCCTTTAGTCATTCTCTCCTTTATACAGTCATTTGTATCTCTTTAATCATTTACTTTCCTACACAGTCACCCACAGCTAGATGTGACTGGAAAATGCTGTTTCCATCTCATGGGAAATACTAATCCATTGTTTTCATACCCAAGTCAAAAGCCAATACAGACCAGACTTTGTGCGGTTGTTGATTCAGAAATGGTGTGTGTTTTGCAACAGGACTTTTATTCTGGTCTATTTAGATCATGCACTGTTCACACCCATATTTATATACAAGATGCTTCTCAATAAGTGCTGGGAGAAGGTGGAAAGGCAGCCAGGATTCACTGAGCACACAGAAGCCTAAATCCTCATCTGATATCAATTGCTGTAGAAGTAACAGGCTTCAATTATGCAGCATTAAAAATAACATTTTCAAGGTAAAATATATCAAGTGAGGACATGTGGGACACAGAAAAAAACCCGGAACACAGCCATACTTGTGGCACAGAAAGAACAAATACTGCCACATTTGTGAGCTGAGTGCAAGAAGCAATAGTATTTTCTTAAATATAATGTGATACATACACACATGAAGACAACAGCCTGATGGTTTTCTGCACAGTTCTAACAAAACATCAATGCATCTGGAGGAAAAGCTTTCATTGCAACCCGAAAACAATGCCAGTGCAACCACATTGATCAATATTCTACTAACACAAAACAGGCAACATAAATTTTACACTATGAAACTCCTAAATGTAATTTTTGCTCACTTAAAATCTTTGCCACAAATGAAACATTTTTCTTCATTTCATTCACTACTGTTGAAAGGCTTTGAGGTTTTCTGCAATTTGGATAAATTATGCATGGAAAAGTTGCTTTCAATCAAAAAGTATTTGACATTTTTTTTAACCAAGAAATAAAAGATATGGGTTTTGGCTAAAATTATATATTGAATTTGACCCAATTTGCAAATAATTTTTCAATCTCTTTCAAAAGAAAAGTAAAAAAAAAATCCTCCACAGTGTTTGTCAGCATATTCAGTATTCACCAATTTTGATGGATCTATAAATATTCATATACAGAATACTGTCACATTGGAACTTGTCCCGGAGAACTATCTTTTTTTTAAATGCATACAAGTCTCATATATATGGGGTTTATTTGCTCAAAAGAATAGGCGTTAATAATTTTAAATGGGCCTTTACAGAAAGAACAGTATATTACTCTGTTTCAATATTCATGTGCAAAATTCAGAATTTAGACTGCAATTTTTAAGGCTCACAGTCCTTAAATACTTGTGCCTGTGAGAAGTCTCAAAGTAAAACCCAAAAAGGAGGAACCAAGCACAACTGAATCAAATTAATTTAGAAGTAGCAAATGAATATTTGTAGATTGCCTTGTGTTATTTCCTTTGATGGAATTAAAATGTCTGAATAACTACATTAAAATAAATTAAAATTTTTACTCAGCCTTGACAGCAGTGGCTGGCACAAGACCATGCGATATGTGCGTCACTCTTCTATTAGCCTCAGCCTTCCAGCTGGGGAACGGCACCGCTCACGCTCGGATTCATCCCAATGGATGCTGAGGCTGGAGGAAAGTTACCCCCCCTGCTGTCAGCCTGGAGAGGAGCCCTTCGGCCAGAGGAGCACAGGAGATGAACGGCAGCAGTGTCCGCGGCGTGCTCTTGGTCTTCCGATACTCACAGTCCTGGCTGGGGATGAGGAGAGAGATATGAGCACACACAGCCACTCCAACGTGGATGCCGGTCCCGGTGGCGGCTTACGAGGTGGCTCCTGTGCACCAGGGAACTGCAGAGATGTATCTGGAGATCCCCTCCCTCTCTGTCCTCAGGAGGGGACCGGATATAGTTGCAAAGAGGTGAGAACTATCTCAGGTTAGGGCTGTCCATCCCAGATAGTCCCTGTTTTCAGCTCTTTAGTTCATTAATTTCTTTTCATTGATGCTTCTGAGATCTTAATATGCAGCTGATTTGTCTCACAGACAGACATAGCCTCTCCCACCTGCAAAAGAACTGAGTGAAAACAAACCATCAGGTTGTACACTCCCCTGAAAAGGATGTGACACAAACTGCTTTTGACATGAAGAACAAACCACAACCTTAAGTTGTCTGCTGTTGCACATCAAACAGAAGCTACAGGCCTTGAGCTATCAAAGCACCAGCTTAAACTCAGATAAATAAGAGCAAAGTCTAACATAATGAAAATACACATTATCACAGTCTGAAGGAGGAAAAGGTGCAGATCATAAAGAACCAGGTATCAATCTGTGCATCAGTCATCACCTCGACTTTTTAAAGAATAACTGATATGTCACAGCCATTCCCATTGTTAACTCATCAAAATATGTCTCTGCTTTGCAGCAGAAGCACATTTTAAAGGGTAGAGAAGACCCTGCCTCAAAAGTGTGTTCTCTATAAACCCTGGTGTCTTTGGGCAGGGAGGGACAAGAGGAGAAAACAGTTGCATGCAGCTGTGTCAGCTCTCCCAACTTCTTGTACAAGGATAGGTAACTACTATGCAAAGCAAAGCTACAGTATTTAAAATCCAAACAGACACTTTTAACCATCTTTCATGCAGCAGCATCCACTACAAGGCATTCGATGTTTCCACCTCATCACCAAGGCCCCTCAAAGCCATGCTCCTCTGTCACTCAGCTCTGAGAGGGAGGCAGGGTTCCTGCAGGTGTGAGTCCTTGCACCCTACACAGGGTTGCCTGTCATCTCAGAGGGCCAGGAACCTTAGACTGTGATGCCAACCACACAGCAACCGACTCAGAAGCCTGCAGGCAGCCAGCACTTTTTCTGAAGATGCTGGTTATGCTGTATTTTCAACATGGCCAGGTCAGCCTCCACTTTTAGCTGTCCTTTTAAGCACGGGAAACTCTGGAAGCTGGGGATATCACTGGTACTGCACTTGTAATAAATAACTGGAGCACTTCAAATGGCAATTTAAGAAGGTCTCCCATTTCTCTTCAAAGTTTTAACAGGAGCTGCCAGGCATCTGAGTTGTAAGGACATCTGAAGAAATGTAGCAGCAGATGTGTCTGTGGCTCCTCATTCCCTGTGCACCTCAAGGGACAAGCCCTGGATGATTTTTGTGCAGCCTGTTCACTATTTGTGAAGAGTTTTGCACCAGAGCAGCCTGCAGTCCCTGCTCAGGGGGCAGATTTGGCTTGACTGCTGCTCAAGCAATGGTCCCCTCCTGGGAATTCCTCAAGTCCCTCCACTGGAAATGAAGTTACAAAATATAGGAAGACTTTGAATGTCCTGGGAGAAAGACATATCAAAAAGGGGCAGCAGTAGTGGAACTGTTCATTGTCAGAAACTGAAAAGTTTTTTGGGGAAAGGAGAGGTTGTGGTTTTGCTATATTCTTAGCCTTCTTCCTTAACCATCTGCAGCTGGCTGCTGCAAATGCTGCTGGGCTAATGGACTTTTGTTTTGACTTGATAGTCTCCTGGCATTTTTATTCTCTGAAAGATACCCTGGCCCTGAAAATGCATACATGAATCCCTGTACTAGCACAGCAGAAGGTTGTTAGCACTGTTAGCAACTGGAGAAGCTGTACCTCCGTAGTGCATTTTCTTCCCAGGCTCCCTATTTGTCATATACTTGCTGGCATCAGTGGAAGCCACAGATGGTTTGTAGCTGCGAAATTCAACCCATCAGTTCATGAGCTAGTTTCATT